ATCCTAAAAACTCTTGCTGTTAGCATTTGGCGGTTGATTTCCATGTCTCTTCCTGCTTCATCTCATTTAATTTCATGTGATTTGTTTCTGTTTAGGTAAGGAAAGTACAATTCTTGAAAAGATGAGAAAGCTCAAGAAACAGAAGAAAGGTGTAAAGAAAGAGGCAAGCTTTCACGAGGAACTGCCTAGGAAAGCGGCACTGAAGCAGAGAGAGTTAATGACCAATCTGATTCCAACATCATCCAAAGCGTCCTCCAGCGAAAAGGTACTGTGCTAACTACTACCTCTAAAACTTATCTTGTTACAAATTTCTTACATTTTTCTCCCTGCAGGAATGTAGTCTGAAAACTTTGAACGAGGGTGGCAAACTGACTAAACCTCAAGTAAGGAAAATAAAGGCCGCTACAGAGAAAAAAATTGACCAAGAGTTGCACTCAGGTGACGACGGACTTTATGATGTGAGTACCTGCCCTTAAACTTTAGAGTAATTCGTTGATGAAACAAACTTGATAATTTCTGTTCTTTACTCTGTGCTACATTAGGACAACAGTTCAGACCGTACTGAAGTTATGTCATTGAAGTCTGACTCATCTATTGATGCTGCGCAGGAGGGTTCTGTGGAGGTACTTATTGGTTGATGTCTAAGTCAAGTTCTTTTAATTACTTTTAATTAACCTATTTCTTATTAAGTTTAATTACCTGTACCGTTTTGACTTGCAGCTCAATCAAACCAAGAAGCGATGCTTGGGCGCTTTAAAAGAGATATCCCAGGACAAACAGGCATTTTGCATAGCAAAGGATCCGTCTGACATGTCCATAGGACCATTCCTTGCTGTCCAAAAGAATGAAGATACGAACACCATGCAGTTCATAAGGAGGTCAACTCCCGAGTCAGGTAATACAGTGAGTGTTGCAACTCAAGAAGAGCACTCCAAAGTGGCTGGTCCCCCTGCTGATGCTGCTATCACGTCCAATTCTGCTGTCATGACACCTGCTGAAGAGAATAATGTGCCCAATAAGCTTCCCTCAACTGCAGTTGAATCAGCAAGTCCGGCCAATTCTGGGAGTCATGGTGATAAGAAGCAAGATTCGACGGATCCTATGGAGCGCCAGGAGACACATCCTATTTCAAACGAAGATAGTGATGATGGGCCTTCCCGTAAACTGAAGAGAAACAAGAAGAGCAGACGAAATAAGAAGTCTAAAAGAAGTAAAAAAAATAAGAAAAACAAGAAGAGACGAAGAAGGCAATCTTCAAGTAGTTCTGATTCCAGCGATGATTCTGATTCAAGCAGTTCCAGTGACTCGAGTAGTTCATCATCAACCTCCTCTGGTTCAACTTCGGGTTCTTCGTCTTCAGACTCTTCTGACTCTCATTGTAAGAAGCGAAAGAGACATGACTCAGAAGAGAGCTCTGATGAAGGAAAGAGTCATTCAAAGAAGAAAAAGGTCACAGAGACCTCAAGAAACCTGACTGTCTATGATGGTACCAATTATGTGTGTAGTGCCACAGATCCTGGTGTAAGTCTGCACAACTACTATACGTTTTGTAATTGTTTTATTCTTTTGTTTAACATTCAATGTTCTTTCAGGTTGTACTTCTTTCCGAAACTACTGATGGAGTATTTGTCAAATCTGATCAACTTGAGTGGGCTTTAGAGAATGCTACCTCTCCCACGCACTTCATCAGAGCGATGCTTGATAAAGTCTACACCAGTGAGGCTATTCTGAATTGCACAGCACAGGGATTTCCTTCTCGTGGCTTTGGTAAAAAGAAGCTCATGAAAATGCAAACAAAGTGCCGGTTGCACCCAGATGGGAGGAAGGCTCTGCTTGGTAAGACCACTTCTCTGTAGTATGATCTGGGATTTATACCTTTTTTTTGTAAATACTAATAGTGTTTTTTCCACTTGTAGAACGTACAACGAAACTTGAGAACGACAGAAAGACCTGGCGGCCTAGGCAGGGCCTCCCAGCATTTAAGCAGTCTTTTGCGGGTGCTATGTGCAGCCTCCGCAAAGCCCTTCTTAAGAAGGCAAAGAAAGAGAAGGAATTGGCGAAGAAGATGAAGAAGAAGATGAAGAAGGAAAAGAATAAGAAGTCCAGGAGGAGGAAGTAGGAGTTATGCATTTTTTCTATATATTCTTAGTTCTAATTGTTGGACTGTATTCTACTTGACTATATATTCTGTATTTCTTTATCAATATGTGTTCTCATTATTCTTATCATATAACTGTTCTAGTTTTTTTTTCTAATCATTTCTTAATTTGACTGTGGTCATCTGTGATTTTAATTTTATCTACACTTTTTAGTTCTATTCGAATCTTAATTGTTTTTACCAAAGTATACCTTGCATTTTATGTGATAAAAATGTAAGACTTTACTTGCTCTGATCTCAGTACGATAGGGCATTACTGTGAGTTTTGTAAATAATATTCCTTTGTTTTCTAATACGAAAATACAAAGGATGTATCTCAATTTTACTTCAGTATACTTCACATTTTATATGTGATGAAACTGAGACTTGACTTGCTCTGACCTGAAGTCTGATTAGATATTACGTAATTGTGAGTTTGATAAATAATATTTCCTTGTTTTCTATTGTTCCTTAATTTCACTGAAGTATACTTACGTTTTATATGTGATAAAACTGAGACTTCAGTTGCTCAGACCTGAAGTTTGATACGTACGATATTACATAATGTGAATGTGATAAATAACGTTCCTTCTTTCTAGTGTGAATTTTATAAATGTTCCTTGTTATGTGAATTTGATAAATGTTCCTCGTTTCTTATGTGAAAAAATAAATGTTCCTAACATCAATTATCTGCTTTGTATTACTGTACGAAAGTGCTTCTTTGCCCATCCAACTTTTAAATGGAATGAATAATTTGGTCAAATACACACTAATTAGGGATAATTAGCCCTAATCATATGTTTATTTATGGTATATTAGTGGCATGTTAATAAGCTGTTGAAGTCTGTAAATTTATGTTAATTTACCACAAAAAATTCAATTAACGTTTATTAACTTCAACAACTGGTAAATAAGTGGCAAATTAATTTTAACAAGAATTTCTATCCTTGGGATGTAATATCCTCTTGCAGAGCACATGATGACATCTCAGCTTTATTACTGTTTGTAAGGGTTAATGAATGCTAATTAAGATTTTAATAAAGCTTTA